TCTCTCCACCTCACGCTCAGTGCCAGTGTACAGTGGGTAAGGTGGTGTGTTTGTACAGTATCCCTCTCTGTGCCCCAGCGCAGTGTTAGTTACATCACTGTGCAGTGTGCACACTAACCCCTGCCCCTGTCTCTCTCTCAGTGAGCCAGTCGGGACTGCGCACTCTGTCTCTCTCTGGCTGCCCGAAGGTGGACGGCTGGTTCCTCTCTCGCCTCTATGTTTTCCGGGATTCCCTGGAGGAGCTGAATCTCTCCGGCTGCCCGAATGTCACCGAGGGGGCACTGGCCTCACTGCACCACCTCCGGTAACACACCTCTCCTCTTCCTGCTGCAGTTTAGCCTTCGGTTCACGCCTTTCCCTGTCAGATTTGACCACCTGCATTGTTGCCTAGGAATCTGCACTAGAGCCCTGCAGCTGGTAAAACCTGAAATGGATCAGACTGCTGCGCACTGGGCACCTGATTGCAGTGTTAGTGTTCAGTCACTGGAGAGCGCTTTATTCCTCCCTCACTCTTTCACTCAACCTCTCCTCCCCTCTTTCCTGCACTCAGGAACCTGCGCAGGCTGGAACTCTCTCTCCCTGCAAGCTCGAACCCGGGGCTGGTGAGGATCCTGCTGGAGGAGGTGCTGCCTGACTGTCACGTTGCTGGCATAGAATACAACCAGGGGCTCAGACACACAGATCCACAGGGCACAGAGACAGACACAGAGAGAGACACCGCCTCACACCGTGATGCACTGACACACAGAGACACAAGCACACACTGACACACAGAGACACAAGCACACACTGACACACAGAGACACAAGCACACACTGACACACAGAGACACAAGCACACACTGACACACAGATACAGTGTGTCACACTGACAGATACTCAAGCCCACAGGCTGACTGATAACAGACACACAGAACTAGGCCCACAGGCTGACTGACACAGATACTCAAGCACATAAACATACTGACTACTGACACTCTGATACACAAACACAAAATGACAGACACACACGTGTTGGTGCTTGTGGTGGATGTGTTGGTCCCTGTACTACCTGACTGAGACCGCCTGAAGGCCATTCATGGCACTTGGACACTGTTTCTATTTACAAAATTACCAATAAAAGTAGGAAATATTAAAAATGAAGTGCGTGGTAATTGTCATTTTGTAATATCTACCTAATATCTAGATGTGTTTTTGTAAAATATCTCCTTGTGTGTGAGTAAAATAAGAGTGCTCATGTTCCTTTGGTGTAATAAACGCTGCTGACAGCTGAATTAAGTTACTGTAACTGTACCATGTTGGTAAAACGGATATTTGCGATTTTCACTGGGTTTCGTAAGACTTCTCCCGTTGAAAGTGGGCTTTGAGCGCCCAAATGAAACCGCGTGATTTAAAATCGGCTTTCAAATGGTTATTCCACGCTGCTTCTAAAAATGTACTGTAGCGTCAATAGGCTCTTTAAAGACGCGCCTGTGCACGTCCGATTAGTCAAGACTCCGGAAGTTCCCAGCGATTGGCCCGCCTCCGTGCAGGCCCCTCCCCTTTGTTTTGAGGCCTTCAATAGTCCGGACTGCGGCCTTTCCTGAGCACGGCAGCTGCTCGTCCTCGCACCATTGTGGGGCGACCGCCCGTGTACGCGTCCGGGGGTGGCTGTGTGCAGTGCACTGGGCAATGCAGGCGGAGGTGGAGGGCACCTGCCCCTTCGCGGAAGACAGTTTCAGTCGGTTTTCTTCTCAAAGTAACATCTACGGGCTGTGCCGCGCCGGCGAGCAAGAGCTACTTGCCGCCACTCTTAAAGGCAAAGTCGTCTGTTTCAAGTATCAGGACCTCCGACAGAAAATCCGTCCCGTTGCCAAGGAAGTGCAGTTCACTTATATACCGGGTAAGCCTGTCTGTCGGCAGTGCTGTCGGACAACGTGTGGCTCTGTTGATTGTACTTTTAAGGTCTGCGCTACAGTGCTTCAGTGCCAATGTGTGGCGAGTGTATTAGTGCACCAGTTCAGTAAACCTTGCTAAGTGTGTGATGCTGCGCTATGGTGTGTAGCTGTTAAAGAGTGTGTGATGCTGTGATACACTGTGGTAGTGAGTTACAGTGTGTGCGATGCTGAATTGCAGTGTATGACAGTGTTAGTGTGTGATAGTGAGTTACAGTGTGTGGCAGTGTTAGTGTGTGATATTGTCACACAGTACATTGCTGTCAATATTGTAGCAATAGACATTGCAGTTTGTAAAGTAGGCATTTCTATATTCATGTCTTTATTTAGTGGTTTCATTAGTGACAAAGGCTAAGCTTTCTTGGAAAAATGTCTTTTATGTGTTGTAAATTAAAGTATTCAGTGCTGTATTTTCAGAAATGTTTAAAACATTATAACGTTTTATGAAGTATATAAACTTAATATAGTCAGAAGGAGCATGTAAACACTTTTCCAAAATAACCACAGTATGTAAGCGAATGAAAGACTTTGCTAGGAAGAAAGTGGAATACTGGTGTGTATTTTTTGTTTAAACTACCAATACCAGCCATAGACAGTTTACATAATATGCTTATGTCTCTAAATTAATATCATTTATGAGCTTCAGGTGCGTTATGCTCCTCTTCTTCTTATGCTCAGCTACTAAATTTTCCCTTTAGTTGTAAAATTCCATATAAATATTCAATACTAAGTGGATTAAAACATGCACAATAAAGAGATTAAATGATTAAATCATTTCACTAACAACCAATGCATCACGAGTGCCCCTGTCGCTCATTTTGGCCAGCTAATCACGTACCCACAATTCACCCCGGTAATTTCGCGCGGTACGGAGTTGTACCGTGCATTTTGAACGGCTGCATCTGTAGGTCGCGGGGATGCTCAGCTGAGTGCCCAGGGAGAGTTTTTTATTTAGATTTTTTTTCAGAAACTCTCTGGGGCCTGGATGGCGCAGTGCACCGCGCGGTAATTGTTTCCCAAAACAGAGTCGGTCCGATCAAAAGTTGTAACCAAGCCTTATTGAATGTCATTCTCTTCCGTGGGCTTTAATCACTGGTCTTTATTGTTTCCCAATCCTACTTTTTGGATTGGTGAACATGTCCAAATCTGATGCCTAGAGAAGTTCATGCAGTATATTGTGTAAGTAATAATGTAACACTGTACTGTCTTTTTGTCCAGTGGATGCAGAGATTGTCTCGATTGACTCCTTCCTGAGGTCTCCGCCCAAGAGAGGGCTGGTCGTGGGTATTACCTTTATCAAGGTCGGAACCCTGCCACCCCCTCTCGTGCTCTCTCCCTGCTCCTCTCCTTCCTCTCTTCCTCCACCCTTCTCTCTGTGCTCTCCTTATCTCCCTCCCTCTCTTTCCCTCTCACTCTCTCCCCTGGAACATTGCTGTTGTGCAGTAGTGTGCAGTTAGTATCTGTCTGATAAACTTGCTCTCTCTCTGCCTCTTCTTCCTCTTTTTCTGTGCCTCTGGCAGGACTCTGGGGATAAGGCCAGTCCTTTCCTAAACATCTACTGTGACTATGAGCCAGGGTCAGAGTTCAACCTGGAGTCCATTGCACGTGAGTCTGACGCCTCTCACATTGCACGTGCTAGAGCCTTCTCTTTTTCTGTATGTTAGTGTTGTGTCTGTCTGCTAGCCTGCCTGTCCCATGTGCTGGTGACGTCTGTGTGACACAGATGTCTCTCTGTCCTCCCCACAGAGAGCTGCCTGAACCTGGAGCTGCAGTTCACACCCTTTCAGTTGTACCACTCCGAGTGAGTACTGAAAGACCGCAGGAGGAGAGAAGGAAGGAGGGCAGTGAATAGGGAGAAGGAGGGAGGGAAGTGAAAGAGGAGAGGAAGGGAAAAGAAAGAAGATCAGGAGGAGGAAAAAAGAAGGAGAGAGAGGAAAGGAGACGGAGGGTGATGTGAGCCTGTCTTGCCTAC